TAAATAAGAATTATACATTGAGGCAGAAAGGCCGCTAAGTTGTATTTTTGATCGTATGTGATATTTAAAAAGAAATAAAGTTTATTATCTTCTAAACTTCGTATTTAATTGCATTGACTTCGTGGTAATTTAATAATGGCAAAAACGAATATTAGAACAGCAGTTGGTTGCTAACACCTGTGTGTTTTCATTCGAATAAAGTAGTAATTATCAGGACTGACAGATGCTCTTGGCCACATCTGACCCCAGTGTAAATAGACACACCAGTAAATATTCCCATGATAAAAAAAGAAGACGCCAGGATGCTATCAAACGATAGGCCATCAACTGATAGGTCAATTTTACGATCGGCTTTAAAGACGAGTCGTCTGCTGGGATTTATTTCTCTATTTATAGCTTAGATGAGAAGGTTCTATTTCCACTCTGAAATAAAAAATCTGGTTCACATCACACAACTTTCACTTACCTTTTCACTTGATGGTCGAGGGTTCTCGAGTCTCCGGTTCGAATTTTTTTGGGTTCGATTTTCACTTGGAGCAGTAATATTTATTTCTTGGTACCTCCGAGAAACGAATCTTGACACTCCAGTTCCGGTAGACCTGGAGCCAGGGCCAAAAATCCGTACTATTAAGCAAGTTTTCAACCTTACAGACCTATAGTTCTCCTGTTATCAAATACGAAAATGATCTTCTTCCACCTCAGACAGGTCGATATAATAGTCCGTGGTCTATTTACTTTATTATCTAGTCTATTTACTACTATTACTAGATACTAAAAACTCGTAAATACGCATTTGCTTTCCACTTGGTTAATAAGATAATTCATAATAATAATAATAATGCTTTATTAATCACAATTAGATCACAAAATCGATGAAAAAGGTGGCCTACAATAATATTAGACAGTTTGGCCTATATAACCTCGTTATTTTGATAATTTGGGCGGTGTAGGTCACGCCAGACAGCTCAATATTTTCGAAGGCCTCCTTTTTTTCCAACTTTGTGTGGAAATTATCTTAAGATTCAAGTAGAAAGCAAAAGGGTATTTATGAGTTTTTAGTACCTAATTAAATAAACAAAGTATTGATAACCTTCAGATTGAAAACGTCCCAATTCCGAGAATTTTCGTAAATAAATTATCGGTAAGTTACGATGAGATGAAGCTACTAGATACGAACTTTCAGCCGGATGTTAATAATTTGCTAAAAACGGCTCTGTACCACTGACTATAAATTTTTAGGAGCATTTAAACCAATCAAAAAGTTCAATATTTAGGAGCATTTTAAGAAAATTTTATCTTGGTCGCGTTAACACGCAATTTTTAATAATACGCCATTACAAAGAGGATTAAAAGCTGAACATTTTCTTCACTTACAGTATTCAGATCCGAATTTTAGTTTCTGAGATATTTTAATCCAAAAGCGCGTTTTGTGAGTCAACCAATTGAAGTGTTTTTGCATCTTAACGCGACGCCGTGTTAGAGAGGTGAAAAGGGAAAACATAGTGTCGAAAACCAAATAACAAGTTTTATTGAAGATATAGATTAAAATATCTCAGAAACTAAAATTTGAAACTGCATACTGACAGCAAGGAAAATTTCAGCATTTCCATCCTCTATGTAATGGCGTATTATTCAAAATTGTATACTAACGTGACCAAGAGAAAATCTTAAAATGCCCCTAAATTTTCAACTTTTTGATGGGTTCAAATGTCCTCAAAACCTTTAATCGACCTGTCTGAACTGACAGATGAACATTTTCGTAATGCTTAACAGTAGTACTATCAGCCTGAAATGTTGTAAATTTTCTTAAAATAGATTTTCGGCCCTGGCTCCAGGTCTATGGTTAGTGCACGGCGGAAACCTATAGTAGTCTTCAGGTGCTCCTACAAAGACATATATACCACACAAGCTAGCTCAAAAAACGATAATGAACTATACTCATTTAAGTTGGCGAACTTTTAATTTAGTCGATTTCATAAATTTAATCCTACTATCAACTCTCAAATAGTTTCCTTCCACTGTATACACAACTACGTACCAATTTTCAAGTTACACTCAACAGAATATATAAAGTGGATACTACACAATTACCTAATGCATCTTTCACACTCTCTAGCTCCTAGAAGAGTCGCATAGGTACTGTAAATAAAAAAATTAAATGTATTAATCAAGTATATTGCGTAACTTTTGGGGCTTAGATTGACTATAGAACGCTTCTTAGTTATTAAATTACACTGAATGAAAAATAATCTTATGAGAAGGAGTTGGTCGAGGGGTGAGGTCAAATAAATAATAAATTTTAAGAAAATTATATTTTTAATTATTACGCCGATGTTTCGACCCAACTTGCAGCTCTTCATCAGGGCATGTGACACTTCAGGAGGCAGTTGATAGACTAACAGTTGAAACAGGTCTAGTGCCATGGACTGGTTCAACATGCCACGCCCTGATGAACACCTGCAAGGTGGGTCGAAACGTCGGCGTAACAATTAAAAACGCTATTTTTTTTTAGTTTAGTGTTTATTTAACAGCACCTCCCGACCAACTCCTTCCCATATTATTATACCACAGTCAACCACCTCTACATCATTATGAAAAATAATCTTGTTTTCATAAATATTTGATAAGAAAGAATTATACAATCTTGTAAAAATGGTGGTAGCAATGAAAAAATAGCAAAATAATGAATAAACCTAACAAGGGGAGGTCACAGTTAGTGGGTCATTGAATTTAACCATTTTTTTTATTTGTGTTTCTACATATAAAAATATTGGACACATTTCCCGGCGCTCATTCCAATGCCTTTTAGGAGTCGAGAAACAAAAAATGTATATAACTTAAAAAAAATTATAAGTCAAAGAAAACTGGAAGAAATTTTATTCTTTAAAATAACCGAGAATAAATTATTTATTAAAATTAAACTTTTTTTCGTCCCATGAATGTAATTAAGTTATAAATTGATACTTTTTTTAAAAATCTTTGCTGAGAGTTATGCTATTAAATATTTTGGTTTAATTTGAACAGAGTTTTCACTTTCAGTGTATATAAATAGAAAGACTTATTCAGAAAAATATTTATATAATGGTTCCATATTTTAATATAAAATCAAAATTAACCAACAAAATGAAACTTGTTCTGTACAGATCTTTTATTCGAACACAAATCACTTGTACCTAATAAAAAAAAAATTAAGAAAGAAACAGGCAATTTTAAGAAATGCTTTCCTTAAACGATATATTCACATAACATATTTTGTTATTGTAATACTATTCACATATTTATTTTGTTTATACATTTACAAACGTACATTCTATTTAATTTATTGTAATTTTATTTATTTGTAGGAAAATGTCTATTTATTTATTTTTGTTACTTATTCATTTTATTCTGTCACTTGCTTTTATCCTCACTTTTTTTCTATCTCAACTTAAATTATATTTGTTACATATATTTTATAAAACCTATTGTAATGTTCGAAATTCATTAAGAAATCTAATTTGTTTCATTATGAGGATTCCTTAATCATGTACAAAATTTTTCAGGGAATTTCAGGTTAAAACAGCATAAAATAAACAAGTATTTGCACAATAATTTATTGTAATCAACGATCTGAAAACAATTTGATAACTATACATGAAAGTCATGAATTCAAAAATAATTTCTTTTTTTTTCCTCTCTTTATAATATACAAAATAAATGGAGCACCATATTTTGATTGACATATAACACCTTTAAACTCTGGCTCAACCAGGCATATAAAAATATTAATATATTTTATTTTTACAGGTTTTGATGATTCTAATTACAAATTATACATTTTGGTTGTATTATTATTTACAAAAAAACACTTAACAATTAACAGTTTAGATGAAACTTATTAAAAATTTAACATAATACCCCCTTTGTCACAAATACATCAGAATAAAATAAATTAATTGTAATCTTAGTACATTGTCATTATAAATAAAATATTTATACAAATGTCACAACGTAAAAAGCATGTCAATACAACAAGAACTTCTTATTAAAAACTATAAATTAATAGCTACAAAAAAAAAAATACAGGCGCTCAGATGAAATACCTTACAACAATTTTAAATCACATTAAAAATTACTATTTTACTAAAAATTCAAACAACCATGATTTGGTAACATGTTTACAATGAATTAAAAGTTGAATCATAATTTAATTTGTTAATAAATTTTGGTCGGGATACATAAAAACTGTGCAGAATAAGATAGAAAAACAACATCTAACACACAATAAAGTTTAACAAAGTGCATAATATATTTTACTTTTGACATTTTAATATGAACAAGAGGGCACCATTGACAATCAGTTTGTAATAATTTATATGTACAAAAGATATAAATGAAAGTACTAAGTATGTACAACTACAGAGCTATATACATCAGTCGTACGTCAAATGACGTTTTGAATCCATTTCTGATTTTACATTTTTTTTATTACTTTTTTGTACTAAATTGTTTGAATACCATGTATGACAAAAAAATAATGTACAATATTTACAAAAAGCACAGAAATAGTAATAGTAAGTATAAAACAGGTGTGTTTGATGAACATACGTAATATTGCTACGTAAAGCACTTGTTAGTAACAATACATCCATCCAACATAGTAAATTAATTAACATAAGGTTCAAGCAACGAACATGAATGAAAAAGTTAAAATAGTAGTCAACAGTATAAAACACTAATTAATCGAAGAATTAAAATAAAAACACAACATAAGGACTTTAAGCGTAAAATTCAAAACGATACTTCAGTAAATAATTATCAAAGCTAAATATTCAAACACTCCAATAAAATTACGTATTGAAAAAAATAATAGGTTTTTTAGTAATATAAAAGCGGAATATAAATATTAAAATATGATTTTTCAATCTATTAAAAATAATTTATATATGATGAATATAAATATATATTTTGTATATTCCTTGTAAAATTTAATAATAGAACTATGTCATAATGAACTAATCTGCAATTAAAAATTATGGAATTTTTTTTATACATAATAAATTGAAATCAAAATATTTAGCTGGGTAATTAGAAAAATAAATAAATAAAAACTCTGTCATGAATGACTATTAAATAGAAAAAGTGAAAATATCGTTAAAATAATTTAGATAACCAGATTCGATCAACAAATTTTGTCAACACATAATAATATCAACCAATGAACATTAGATGAAATATGAAAATTCAACACTTTTCTCTTGTAAGAACTTAAGTAAATATTTAAAAAATATATATGTATTTTGTCAATCAACATTCGTAACTAAGAAAAGTGGTAAGACAGAATTATAATTGCCTGGTCTAAACAATTAAGTCAAATAAAAATAATTGCCAGGGTCGAAGTATATGTACTTTTAGCACAAATGAATGATACTAAATTATACAAAAAGGTACCGATTACCTTTAATAATTGAGATTTCTTGATTGAACACTGTTCCGAGGTAACTTATGGTTTCGAGGGATCCACAACTATCCCAAAGAAACCTACAACAGTTCTAAAATTATCACAGGTTTCAGGACTTTGGTCCGTTATAACACCAGTTCTCATATTTCTAGACACAGTCCGCACAGACTTGTTAGATAAAAACACTCATGGCCAAATCTATGGCATTAGACAACAATAAGAAAACGTTAAAAGGCAAGTTAGTCGACGAAGCTGTTGAGAACACACTGATATCTGACAGAAGCAGTCCATCGCGAGCAACTTGCAACTTCACGGATCATCCTTGGCTTCGACCGCTGTCATAGGAATAGCGGCCGAAGGCTTATCTCATACGTAGGCCTCCGACCGCCGCCCTCGGACCCTGTCGAAGAAGTTCCTCCAGGAGGCGAGGGTTTTCCCCGACCATATCCAGAAGGAAGAAGTGATCCCGACGACCATGGCCCCGAGGTACTTGATCATGAAGAGCTCGAACTCCGGCTTCCGGCCGAGGCCCTTGGCTCGCTCTCCAACGGGGCAGGGAATGGAGTAGGCAGTGTGTTGTCCAGGCTTAGCGCACATCTCCATGTTCCAGGTGAGCATCCAGTGATCCATGTAGGCCTGTTCGTAGGCGAGGCAGGCTAGCACCACCAGGGCGGGAACCGTGTACATTACGGAAAACACACCAATCCGGATCATCAGCTTTTCCAGCTTGTCCGTCTTGGTACCGTCGTGCTTCATAACTGTCCGGATCCTGAAGAGTGAAACGAATCCGGCCAAGAGGAAGATGGTGCCCAGGACCAGGTAGACGAAGAGCGGTGCCAGCACGAAGGACCTCAAAGTCTCCACGTCCCAAAGCCCGACGTAGCACACACCAGTCAGGACGTCACCTGAGAACAGAAAGAAATACATTAGCAATCAAATCTGAACTGAAGTTCAATACATTTAGTAACATGATTCTTACAAATACTTATCAGAATAAAATAAAAAATAATTATCTCTTGAAAAAGTTAGTATATACGAGTATATTAGGTAAATAGTGAATAGAATTATTGCCTCATATCTTTTCCAGTCTCTACAATACAACAAATCAGTGTTTCTACAGCTGTGAAATGTAACGTTAATTGCTGTCAGTTTATTAGCCGATGCTTGGTCATCGTATCAATCCTTGAACGAATTTTTTTTTATTTCTCGTTACGTAATTCATTTTACGTTGGCTTATTTCCTAAAAGAACGACAACAATACAACAGGAACAATAGCCATGATGGTGGTAATGGACTGGGCCGAGCTTTGTCGAGATCAATCTCAGTTGGAGAGAGATGACGCCCACGTCCTGCGGCGCTCAGAATGGCACATCCATTAATCAACCCTTAAAACATTACCAGCCGCTTTTGTGTTCGGATTTCGATGGATCCTCTTTTTTTACTGCTTTCAAAATAGATTCCAAGATGTATCACTACGTTATACAGAAAAGTTATTGCAAGTCGTAACAATAAATTCAATCGTATGGGCGTATAGCTCGTTTTTATTTTACCAAGTATTGAACAACTCACTTCACAGCAACTCTATGTCCCCCTTTGAGTGAACGAACCCTTCCTTTCCCCTCAAGTATGAAAGTTTCCTCCTCAATGAAAAGATGAGCCAACCCCGGCTGAGGAAGGTACTTCCACATTTATGGTGCATTAACCCCGCCTGGCCCCTCCGGCCCAGCGCTAAAACACCCTCAATCCCTACGCAGCTTCTTCAGGATAAGCTGGGAAAGTCTCTCCTTTCACTCTGCAAAATAGAGTCAAGATAGTGAAGTGATTTTTATCAAAGAGGAGAAATGGAACGTTGTCTCTATTTTGCTATTATTTACCTCTTTGATAAATGCCAAAACCATAATACCAATAACCACCAGCAAATTAATATCCATTAGCAACATGTTAAGACAAAAAACAAAAAAAAAAAATTAAACACATCCAAATACTAAAAATAATTTCCTAAAAACAACCCTGTATCATTGCAACCAATAATAATTGTTTGTTATATTTCAGTATTTATTAACAAAGTACAGCTTCAGAACAAATATTGTGCAATAAAGTCATAATAATAAATAATTATCATTACAGCCGAACTACAGAATATGACAACGGTGACACAATTTTTTCATATATTGCCTTATATTTTTCCTTTTTTTTAAATATATTTTTCCTTATATTTTTAACAAAATTATACATTAAAACAGAATTTAAGTTAAATGTGATGTAGACAAACATTAGAATTTAGCAAGAGGCAATTTATAACATAACAGGAAGATGTTTTTTATTTTATTTATATTGTAATATATTTCCACTTCTTGTCTTAATATACATACCAAGGACATACAATGAGGTAGTTTGATACGGATCTTTTCAAATAAACATAGAAAAAAAAAGAAAAAAATCATACACTAATTCTCCCAAGAAGCTTAATTAGTTGATAAAAGGGACGTTGTTGAAACAATTTTGGAAGGAGGCAAAATACGAAATTTTTAAATGCTTTTAGTAATTGCAACATTATTTCTCAACGATTTAAATGGCAGGAACAATTTTAACGACATTTCATAACAATTTATTATTTCTTGAGGTTGTTAACAAATTTGTTTAAAGAAATGTAAAAATATAACAATTACCATGTACAGCACTTAGACACAATAACACAACAACTAACAACTAAGTCTATGTGGAACACAGAATACCATAAAAAAACAATGAAGTAGAAAAACAGTTAACTGAAATCCCCTCTCCCTTTTCCTTCATAAATTCGTCAAAATAATAAATCAAAACAAATAGCTATGACATTCAATAAAGAGAGAGGGAAAACAAGGGGCTGTGACTCGGTAAACTCGGGAAATTGGCACGTCGGATTTCCATACGTCACGTTTCCGCATGTGGGGGGGGGGGAAAGGGGAGGTTCGCAGGTTTGATGAATATTAACGCATCTGTCACGGCTGTGGGGAGCTGAGTTTCTTTAAAATAAATGAAAAAGGGGCTTTTCCAACAGAAAATTAGTGAGTACTAAGTAGCAATATATTTAAAATACATAATTAATATTCCGTACAATATAAAGCTGGCGTTAAAATAAGACAACTAGAGAATTTAGAAGGCTGTATAGTATAAATAATTAAAGCTGACTGATAAGCTAGATGTTACCACTAAATGTTAATAATAGCCAAACTGATCTGTCCGTGTAGTGAACTAACATGAAGGTATATCGCCACTAGATTTAGTACACTACATGATAGTTACAGATCTTAGTATCACATTAACACGTTATTAACATATGCTAAAGGAATTATTCCAAAAATAAAACAAAACATTTCAATTATATTATAGAGTTAGAAGTAAATATAAATAATAAAAAAACGCTGCAAATAATTTCACAATGGTTTAATATTTCCAAACAATTATACATCTAAAGTAAAATTACCTTCCGAGTTATAAAGAAAAAAAAACAAGAGGTGATTCCAATTATTGGACTAAACTGTTTTTCTTTAATCATTAGTAATATGCTTAAAAAAATAGCATTAGTTCAGTAACACATTTAAAATTTAAAAACCAAACCAAGGATATAACATCTGGGGTAGAACACATAAAAAAAAAAATCGGAGACCATATCTTTGCTCATAATTGTCCGATTTTAACGATTCTTTTTTTGTTTTTTAGGAAATTTCGTAAACTTTTAAAAAACCATCGAGAAAATTTTACCATCCCTCGTAACTTTTTTTCCAGCTTCTTTTCGTTGAAGTATGTTATATAGATAAATTTAAAGGGCGCCGAGAAAATGACTTTAGCGAAGTTTCATTGAAATCTGTTCATTCGTTTAGGAGCTACAGTCTATAGCAACGCAGGTTTTTCGGCCGCCATTTTGAAAGTTAAAGGCGGAGAGTAATGTCGATGAAGGAGGATCATCCTCGGGTGACCTATGATTTTATATCAAAATTTGAAAAAAGTCGGTCCAGTAGTTTCGGAGAAAATGCGCGGACGGCGGATGGACAAAAAATTTTTTATTCGTTTTTCGAATTCTACGCGTCTTGAAACGTGAAACCTCAAATTTTGATAGGAGGTTATGTTTTTGAATTTTTTTGTCGATCACAATGTTTCATTATTGAAAATAATAAACCAAAATAAATGGTTTTCAATAAAATAATTTAATTTTATCATATCAAATTTCTGGTGTCCTCCATTTTATTTATGCAAAAGGTAATAATGTCATTAATTTTTAAAAAAACCTCAAACCCAATGATCAAAAATCAAAGTTTTGTTAACCTATTTTTAACCGACTGTTTAAAGAACTACGTTGTGATTTTACATGGCAGTTCGAACACAACAGTTTTAGTTATGACTTAACAATTTTATTTTTTTTTACATTCGAAAGTTAATTTTTACTATTAGTGGGACAAAACTTGTTTGATGAGAAGTTTATTGAACCAGATACACATAGGTCGTATACATATACACAGTTGCAATAGATAAATTGAATGTTTGTTAATTATTATGGATATTCACTAAATATCGAAACAAGTGCTGGTGATGAATTATAGGTTTCTAAAAATATATTCTTCTTCAAAATGCCAATCAAGGAAATATATAAGGCCATGTACTGAGGATCCGTACGATCTCCAGAAATTGTGCAGTAAGGCTTCATATTTAATACAAGGTTTTTTAAACAAAACTTGTTCTTTTTTTTAAACTATATTGACATCATCCCATTAGTTTTAGTAGATAGTATTTTCAAGACTAGTGAAATATTTTGATGTTTTATGATAATTCATTTTAAGGTATACTCACTATAAGGTGTTTTTCCACCACTACCTCGCCTTTAGGTTACATTGGTTTTTCCCGGGTCAGAGGAGAGGGCGGGGATTAATGTCAAGAGTCAAAAGTCGAGCCCGTAATCTAATCAGGCAGCTCATGTTTTGGAAACGTTAACCAGCTCGGCCAGCCCGTCCCCCAGGTGTTTTCAGTTTATTTCCTTCTAATAATAATAAAAGGCTTACCGAACCCGAAAGTTCGATGCCGACACCACCAATCGCTTATTACACACCTCCCTACACCGTTCGCCGTCCAAACCCAGTCCCTTCAGATCGGCTTTAATGCAATCTTCCCACCTTCGCTTCGGTCTACCCCTCGGACGTTTACCATTAGGTACAGCAAATATTAACCTTTTAGGAATTCTTTCGTTACTAAGCTCAACAATTTTACAAGCCTATTTGATTCGCCGCGATGAAATTACCTCAATTATATTACCCGGATACAGTTCACGCAATTCGGCGCTGTGTAACCGTCTGAACTCTCCGGTTAACTCATCCTTCCAAGTTAAGTAGTTTTGTCACAGAAAAATAACAAGCGTTTCCCGCCTTCAGTCTAACCTTGATCTCTTCTTCAGTTTCGTTTTTCTAGTTATTGTAGAACCTAGATATCTAAATTTCTCTACCTGTTCAAACATATTATCTCCTTCTAGGATGTGAGAAATAAACTTTGGAGTACTTAGTAAACTAATTAAGTAAGAACTTATTGCCATATTCAACAAGAAGTATTGCCATACTCCAAATTTTCGAAGGTCCGCACCGCAATGGGTTGAACACAATGGAACTATTTACTACCCCGCACCCCTCCCAACATATATATCAAACTATAGCAATGATTTAGTAGAACAGCATGATCAATAGCTGGCACGGTAACCTACACCCTCCCCGCAGGCATTAACATCCATCTCTAACACTCCTCCCTCCTTCACCCTCCCCGCACGTGCTGTCCTCGTCCCTTCCTCCGGCCTGTCAATCCTATTTCACGCCTTCCACCTCCCACCATCAGGTTATTTCAAATTAATTCCGCCTACTTTTCCACTCAGCAGTTTTTATTATAT